CTGCCTGATCTACATGCACAACCGGAGTATCTTCAGAGGCAGAGTCTTCATCAGAGTCTGAGCCCTCAAGAAACTGCTGTTGCATGGCATTTGCATATTCCATGAGGGAGTTCGGTATAAAGTAGGCTGGAGGGTTGAAAACCTCGGTCTGCAGATCATAACCGAGCTTCTCAACGGCTCCCCTCCAGACGCACTTAAAGAACAGCTCCTTGGCGGCCTCACACTGTTTGACATATACATCTTCTGCCTTCTTGAAGCCTCTCTTTTCAGCCTCTTTTGCGCTCTCCTTCGCTTGGGATATTTCGGCATCCTTCTTCCTCTCAAGCTTTACCAGCTCACGCAGGTACTTGTCCTTCAGAGCAATGGCAGCCTTCTGCTTTTCGGCTTCGACCGAACTAACCAGTCCGGTCAGTCTGCCGATCTCACCTTGTAGCTCGGCCATTTGCTTTATGGCCTCCTCTAGCTCGGTCGCTTTTGCTTCAGCCTCTGCCGCGGCCTGCCTTGTTATTTTCCTAAGCTCTAACACTTTCCTATGAGTGATTTGGTTTTTCTGAATGGCCTGACAAAGCAAAGATTTCCCTTTAGCCGAAGTAAAAGTTGAAAAAAGAAAAGTAGACAAAGAGGCGACCGAAGTCACTTACCAGAATCATGGATTTTGTCATTGACCGGATGGCCTTTAGTTCGGTGTTCAGTTGTTTTTTGTGGTGCTCCATGTCTTTGGGGAAGCACACACCCTTGGCCAGATTGAAGGCCAACTGATGGTCTTTTTCAGCAACAATCGAGTCCGAGGTTTGGATGTCTCGGTTGTTGAAAGTAAGTTTCGGTGCCCAGCAACCAGTCGTTCGGTCAGAGGGCTCCGGTTGGGGGCTCGGTAGTAAGCTCGGTGGAAGAGCAGGTTCTTCTTCATCAACCAAAGTTTGTTCGGCTTCGGCAGTCCGAGCTCGCTTGGTTCGGCGGGAAGAGGATGGCTGTTGAGAGGGAAGGGCCACAACAGCAGGCTGCGATTGGCTGGGTGGCGTTACTTCGGGCTTGGTTGTCTCGGTTAAAAGGGCACTGACTCTATTCTTTTTTGCCATCTCTTCTTCAGCTGTAAGTGGGACTAGCCTAATCTCGGGCAAGGATGGGTCCGGTTCAGGGGCGTCTTCAAGAAGGAAGTCAGTTACTCTGGCTTTCCGGCGACCGCTGTATCGGTAGGTCGGCTCGAATTGCAGCAATTTGGCCCAGCTACGTTCTGGATATCGTAGTGCGGCTCGCAAAGTTGCAAGGTTTGGATAACTGTATAAGGAATGAAGGTGGGCAGAATCTGCGAAAGAAGAACTGTTAGTTCGGTTGATACACTAAACAAACCGAAATAAAAAAATGCAAGGAAGAAGACCGAAGTTAAATTACCAGGCTCTCCTTTTTTCCAATTTATAGGTCGGCCAGGAATTTGGGCTTGAAAATCCTCAAAGTTCCCAAAGACCCAGAAAAAATCATCGTCATTTACGTCTTTGTCCGGTGTATATTTAATTATCTTCTCTCGGCAGCAACGTATTCTAAGGTAATAAACCCACCCATCCTCTTTTGAGCCAATGGAATATTGATGGAAAATTTCGGCCAGGCCAAGGTTTAGTCCGGCTTGACGGTTGAGTTCGGCTATTCCCATAATGATGCGGTAGGAGTTAGTAGATAGTTGGGTTGGGCATAGTCTGGTTTGCCTAAGGAACTCGCAAATCAATGGCTGGACTGGAAACCGTAGTCCGGTTTCTATAATGGATAAAAGGGTGAAGGGGACGAAGCCTTCATTGTCCCAGGGAATGACGTCTTTTTCCGCCAAGACCAGATGGACGTCATCAGGTATTTGGTAGTCTTTTCTGAATTCGGCTAGGCCGCCCGGAGTATTTACTAGGTATCTATACTTCCCCATCTATCGGATAATTTACGAATAAGTTATATCGGTGAAAAAATTGTGCTCAGTAGCTCGGTTGAGCGCACGCAGGAGTGCCTAGGCAACCTAAGTCTGCAAAGTAGAAAACAAAGGGGTTAAGCACAGATCATCATTGGACCGTGCTACAAATTAAAAGCGAGGTAAAAGAGTCCTACTTCGGCTTTATGGACAGGTTCTATCTCGGTTCAACCAAAGTGCTTGGTAGCTCGGTTTTGAGCAAGGTTCTTATTAGCCAAATCTTGGCAGGCATCTCGGCATACTGGCTTTGGAAACAATTTTTGTTAGACCGGTTCATCGTCTAAGGGCAGCTTTCTGAGTTCGGTCTAAACAAACTAAGAAAGCTGGTTCAGCCCCAATGGCCTAAATCAGTTGAACTATGAGTTTTGTTACTTCGGTTAGGCCTCTAGGGGCAGCTTTTTGAGTTTGGTTTAGAAACTAGGAAAGCTGGCTTAGCCCCAAAGGCTTAGCTCGGTTGCAGACCGAGGTTCCTTATTTATTAAAGTCAAACTTCGTTCGGTGGGCTTATCTCGGCTAGAGTTATTCAGGAGTTGATAATCTACTGAAACTACTGATTTCTGGAGTTATAGTTCGGTTATTATCTAAAGTGATCTACCTATATAGGACAAACAGTATCCTAGTTCGGTTGCTACTTGATTTTGGATTCAAGACTAATTTTCTATAGAATTGGTCTTACGCACATAAGTTCTACTAATGTTTTTTCAATGAAGTACAGAAGCGAATCAGAAATGGAAGAAAATGTTTTGCAAAAGTACAGTAAACGAAACGCATAGAACAAATGCAAAAGCAAAACAAAACAGGGAAGGTGGGTCTGCTTACCAGATTGAAGAAGGGGGAGCTGGAGATGAAAACAGTGGCAGCAAATGAAGAACACAAGCTTGGTAATGGATTTTGTCATTGACCGGATGGCCTTTAGTTCGGCCTCTAGGGGCAGCTTTCTGAGTTTGGTTTAGAAACTAGGAAAGCTGGCTTAGCCCCAAAGGCTTAGCTCGGTTGCAGACCGAGGTTCCTTATTTATTAAAGTCAAACTTCGTTCGGTGGGCTTATCTCGGCTAGAGTTATTCAGGAGTTGATAATCTACTGAAACTACTGATTTCTGGAGTTATAGTTCGGTTATTATCTAAAGTGATCTACCTATATAGGACAAACAGTATCCTAGTTCGGTTGCTACTTGATTTTGGATGCAAGACTAATTTTCTACAGAATTGGTCTTACGCACATAAGTTTTACTAATGTTTTTTCAAGGAAGTACAGAAGCGAAGCAGAAATGGAAGAAAATGTTTTGCAAAAGTACAGTAAACGAAACGCATAGAACAAATGCAAAAGCAAAACAAAACAGGGAAGGTGGGTCTGCTTACCAGATTGAAGAAGGGGGAGCTGGAGATGAAAACAGTGGCAGCAAATGAAGAACACAAGCTTGGTAGTTGGAAAAGCAGAGGCACGAAGAGAGAAGATGAATAGAATATGTGATTGATCCAAGAATGAAAGGGCTGTTTTGTGAAAAAGGAGAGAGGGAAAAAAAGCGGGAACTGTTCAAAATTTTCGTGGTACGAGGGCGGCGTGACAGCTGCTCACAGCCTATAAGAGCCTGCCACGTGTCATTGGTAAGTAAAGCGTTACAGTCAGTGATTGAAGAGACGTTTTGACCGGACAAGCGGAACCCGGAGTAAAGCAAGCTCGGCCAGAGAGGCTAGAGGAGGTTTTTTAGTTCGGCTGGAAAGGCTTAAAAACGTTAGCTCGGCTGGTCACTAGGTAATCCCAATCATGCTATGCAGATGGAATTAAGGGGTAATTGAGAGGATAATTTTTGGTGAAAATTGGGCCGAGCTATGGGATGGACTTTATGGCCCAAAGTACGACGAACTGGGTAAAATGGGCCGAGAAGTTACTCCGGCCCAAGAGAAATAAAGTTACTTCGGCACAGGAATTGTGAAGCTACTTCGATTTGGACGACTTGGAGTTAGTCCGGTCTCCGGGTTAGTCCGGTCATGACGTATTCTGGATAGATCGGTCAAGGCCTTGCTACTCGGTAGCTTGGTCCCAACATATCATGATTCATGCAAAGGAGAACCGAGATGAGAAGTAAAAGGAAGAACCGAACTAAGGATAGTTCGGCCTACCTTGTGACTCAGCTTAGCCAGTTTACTTCGGTCAATTGGTAGTTCGGCCGCGGTAAAAACCATCCCACTTGGTTTAAGCAGTGGGGAGGGGGTGTAAAGGGATAAGCATTATCCTTTAGAAGTATGAATCCTAGGAGGACTCTACATGGAGGAATAAAAGTCCTACTAGGATTGGGGTACTCGAAACCTATAAAAGCTCACAAGCATCACCTTGGAGGAGGTAACATAACACAACATACAATTTTGCTTCTTGAATACATTGAGCTTTGTCTATTTGTCAAGTTTTCTGACTTAGGCATCAAAGAGGTTTCCGGCACACACCCGCCGGCTAGCTCACGTTTGTATTTTCAGGTGACAAAGCGATATCGTACAGAGAAACGTGGACTTAGTCAATAGGATTATACGAGAAAAATTATTTCTTCCCCATACATGAGATAATAATAATTCAATTATATAAAGATTAATATTCAATCATCTTTGATATTTTATATGATATACTGCTCAACCATTCAAATAAAGATAAATCTTGAAACATATTTTTTTTTTAAATGATTAGATCTTGGCATATACTCTCCTAAACCTTACAAATTATTAGATGTCGAATCAAAAAGAACCCATTGCTTAAAATAGTACTAGAATCGAGGTACCCACCTCACTGTGGTCGGCCACCCAGCCCTATTATCTCAGAGTCCATATGGCGTTAGAAGAAATCACCACCACACATTGGGAAGACCGCGAGCTCTAATTGGGCCCTCCCATTAGCTGTAAAATGATGCCGACAAGTGGCTTCAAGAAATTAGTTCAAAAACAAAAAAAATGTGCATTCGAAAAATTGGGCTCTCATTATTATTACCGGGAACCGGTCCTGCCGGTTCCTCGGCCGTTATTTTACGTATGTATATATATATATATATAGCAAGTTCCACACTTTCACTTGATCAAGGAAGCTAAACATAGAGACAGAGAGAAGAGCAAGCAAAAAAAGGGCATTTTGCAAATAGTTCTCTATTAGCTAGAGAAGGGTAAAGGAGAGTAGAGTGTTAAAAAAAAAAAGAAAAAAATGCCAATTTACAGAATAGCTGTGGGGACGCCGAGAGAGGCGAGCCACCCCGACGCTCTCAAGGCGGCGTTGGCGGAGTTCATCTCCATGCTCATTTTTGTTTTTGCAGGAGAAGGGTCCGGCATGGCTTTCAGTAAGTTTTCGTAACTAATCTCAATTTAACTTTATTTTTGAAAAATAATTTTTTGATTTTTTAACTAAAATATAAAATAAAAAAAATTAGTACGTTTGAAATATTTTTTAATTTTTTATAAAAATATATAAACAAATAAAATAAAATAAAATTTGATTTTTTAATTTTTTAATAATTTTTTAATTTTTAAGTTTAAATAGATATGTCAAACAAAGCCTAATTTTTGACTTTTTTTAATATACCAATTGCAACTATTTTTATAACGATATAAATTTGTCTCTAAATGTCTTTTTGCAACAAAATTTTCACTTTTAGAATTCAAAATATTTAGTTTCTAAAAAAATAGTATGTTTCACTCGAGGCCCAGCATCATTTGAAACTACCTTTTTTATTACTTTTCAATTGTCTTTTTAAAAAAAAAAAAAATTAAAGAACTTTTTAATGAAAAAAATACTTCTAAAAAGTAAAATTATGAATATTAATTGTTGATGTCAAACTTAACCTGAAATACAAAAGGAAATACAAATGGTGTGTGTGGCTCTCTCCAATATAAATCCTCCCAAGCTTGAATAAAGGGCAATAGGAGAAAGTTCTCTAGTATGAACCTCAATATTCTTATGTAAAAATTTATTTTGTTGTTTAATGTCTATAATGATAAATATTTTGATTTGAAATGAATTAAATAAACACTATCACGCTCCCTGGAATGGGGTTACTGCTGTGTAAAGGCTTGACACAGTAGTAACTGTTGTGCGTTAATTTGAGCTCCCTGGAATGGGGTTACTGCTGTGTAAAGGCTTGACACAGTAGTAACTGTTGTGCGTTAATTTGAGGTTTATTATGGGCTTAATTTTATAATTTGAATTGTTCATTTTATAAGATTTATTGAGTACTTCATACTTATTAAAAATCATATTAATCGTTTATCAATAATTATGGGTATGTTTGGTTTGTATTTGAGAGATGAGTTTTAGAAAAAAATTTCTAAAAAATTATTTAGTTTGAATTTTTTTCAAAAAATTTTCAAAATCACTTTCTCCCTCTTGGAGCGGGGTCACTGCTGTGCCCCTCCCTGCTGTGTTTTGCTGTGCCGTGAAACGGCACAGTTTCATCCCCTTCTTTCTTTTTTCTTTTTTTCTTTTGCAAAGTTTTATCTTCTTTTGTTTTTTTTAATTTTTATTTTTTTATTTTAGAGTTCAGAGTTTAGGATTTAGGATTTAATTTTTAAAATTTATTTTTTTATTTTAGAGTTTAGGGATAAATTTTTTTTTATTTTAGGGTTTAGGTTTAATTCTTAATTTTTTTTTTATTTCACGGTTTAGGGTTTAGGGTTTACAGTTTAATTCTTAAATTTTGTTTTTTATTTTATTTTAAGGTTTAGGGTTTAATTCTTAAATATTTTTTTTATTTTAACTGTTGTGCCCCCTCCCTACTGTGTTTTCTTTTTTTGTCATGCTCTCACACAGTTTGATCTTCTTCTCTTTTTTTTTTTTAATTTTATTTTAGAGTTTAGCGTTTAGGATTTAGGGTTTAATTTCACTTTCTTTCTTTTTTTTCATGTTCTCACTATGAATTAAATCTAAACCCCAAACCTAAAATAAAATAAAAAATTAAACCCTAAATCCTAAAATAAAAATAAATAAATTTTAAGAATTAAACCCTAAACCTTAAACCCTAAAATAAAAAACAAAATTTAAGAATTAAACCCTAAACCCTAAATCATAAAATAAATAAAAAAAAATTTTAAGAATTAAACCTAAACCCTAAACCCTAAAATAAAAAAATTAAATTTTAAAAATTAAATCCTAAATCCTAAATCTTAAATCCTAAAACAAAAAATAAAACTTAAGAATTAAATGCTAAACCTTAAACCCTAAAATAAAAAAATAATAAAAAAAAATTAAGAATTAAACCCTAAACCCTAAAATAAAAAAATAAAAAAAAATTTATCCCTAAACTCTAAAATAAAAAAATAAATTTTAAAAATTAAACCTTAAATCCTAAACTCTAAACTCTAAAATAAAAAAATAAAAATTAAAAAAAAAAGAAGAAGATGAAATTGTGTGAAAGAAAAAAAAGAAAAAAAAAAAAGAAAGAAAGAAGGGATGAAACTGTGTCGTTTCACGGCACAGCAAAACACAGCAAGGAGGGGGCACAGCAGTGACCCCGCTCCCATCTTTCTTACACATCAATTAATTACTTTTTCTCTCTCCACTCTTCTTCTCAATCACTTTTTCCCTTACGCACATCTACTCAAATTCTTTCAAATTATCAAATCATCACAAACTCCCAAAAAAATAACATCTACTCAAATTCTTTCAAATTATCAAATCATCACAAACTCCCAAAAAAATAACTCTCCCAAAATATACAACCAAATAAACTAAAAAAATTTCTAAACTCTCTCTCCAAATTTTTTTTCAAAAACAACTCTTCCAAAAACAAACCAAACAATAATCCAATTATATTTATCATAAAAAAATAAACAATAATTTTTTTTTTTTTGAGAAATAATATAAAAAATATGTAATCCGATCGTATAATTATTGATATCCGATGAATATAATTTTTGGTAAGCATAAAATACTCGACGAATCTTATAAAATGAACGATTTAAATCATAAAAATAAATTTATAATAAAACTCAAATTAAGGCACAATAGTTATTACTGTGCCAAAGACACATCCGTAACCCTCTTTGCACCCTAGGGCATTACAAAGTCACGACTAATAGAATAATTAATTTGCATTTTTTTGCTCAAAACCTTTTATTAATGGATTCAACTACAATACAAAACTAGTGGTTTTTATAATCTAAATCTAATTGTTAGAAATGATTTTTGGATACATTTTTTTTTTTTTTTTTGAACCTTTAAAAAAATTCTTTACCTATTTATGATGGGCCCAAGAGGACTAAATTAGTGATGGATGGTCTTGGGTTTTGACAGATAAGCTGACGGATAACGGGTCGACCACTCCGGCTGGGCTTGTAGCTGCAGCATTGGCTCACGCGTTCGCTCTTTTTGTGGCGGTTTCGGTAGGTGCAAACATTTCAGGGGGTCATGTGAACCCTGCTGTGACATTCGGTGCCTTCCTCGGTGGCAACATAACACTGTTGAGAGGCATTCTGTATTGGATTGCACAGTGTTTGGGTTCAATTGTCGCTTGCTTGCTTCTCAAATTTGCCACTGGTGGATTGGTAAGCAACTCATATATATATATATATAACACTATATGTGAATTTCAAACTAATCTTTTGATACAAATTTTCATCAATATATCTATGGGTTTGATCAACTTTGAGGGTCGGGGGGCCATTACGAGTGATTTTGATTAGATAATCGTAACATTTTTATTTTATTATATTTGTATTAAAAAAAATGAATGATTTTTGAAAAATTTCACACTCGATCCCTTGCAGGAAACATCTGCATTTTCCCTCTCGATTGGCGTCTCCGTATGGAACGCATTAGTCTTCGAGATCGTGATGACATTCGGCCTAGTCTATACTGTCTACGCCACGGCAGTTGATCCGAAGAAGGGCAATGTGGGGATTATAGCACCAATCGCAATTGGTTTCATTGTGGGTGCAAACATTTTAGCAGGTGGTGCCTTTGATGGTGGGTCCATGAACCCAGCAGTGTCTTTTGGTCCAGCCGTGGTCAGCTGGACATGGGCCAACCACTGGGTCTATTGGCTCGGACCACTCATTGGAGCTGCCATTGCAGCCCTTGTCTATGATAACATCTTCATCGGTGACAATGCACATGAAGCACTACCCACCGCGGATTATTAGAAAAGTTTCTAGGTGCTCTTTGATTTCTTGATGCAAAATCATGTTTTAGTTGTTTTGTGTTGTAATTTTCTCTTCCTTTTTTATTTAAGGAGGTAGGTGTGTGTTTATTGGTTGTTGTTGTTGCTCGAATCAATGAAAATGTCTTGTTTGTTTGTTTTGCTATTATATATTATTCCAGTTTTTCTCTGTCATGTTGTTTTCATATAATGATCAAGTATTTTTTTTGTCACAAGACAATTCAACAAATGACATAATTCAACGATTCATATTAAAATTGAAATAAAATGATATTGATTCATATTAAAATTGAAATAAAATGATATTAAAGCCATCAGTGATGCTACGTAGCTCGATTTTTGGTGGCTCCAGTGGCTCGACTTCACTTTTCAACCTCTCTCTCCCTTTCTCTCCTTCCTCAGTTTCTTCTCTTCTTCTCCTTCTTCTACATATCTTCACTGTTTTTCTCCACCAATGCCCTCTTCTTGTTGTCCAAATCTTCTGCAGATATGCTTATATATATATATATATTGTATACAAGTGGTGGTGTTGTGGGTTGTGCAGAGTTGGAAATGGCAGCCTCACAGTGCTTTGAGAACCCACCAAGCCTGAGCTCAACATGTGGATCAGGGAATCTTCAAGAGATTGGAGGGTTTAAGACCTATGTTACTGGTCCCCCCCATCTCCATTTCTTCATCAATCTTTGTTACTTTTGTGTTCAATTTCTCAAACCCAAATCTGGGAAAGCTAACAAATCAAACCCAAAAATCTAGGAAAAGAAATCAAACCCAAATCAGTCAAATCCAAAAATCAAAAATCAAAAACCAATCAGCCACAAACCAAATCAGACAAAATCAAACAAAATCAATCAAACCCAAAATAGAAGGGGAAGAGAAGGAGCTCGTCGTGGACTCCGACGATGATCCAGATTGTGGGTGTCGGAGAAGGAGGAGGCTTTTGGAGTGGAGAGAGAGAGAGAGAGAGAGAGAGCCAAATAAAACCCAAATAAAAAATCTGTCTACTACTTCTCTTCTTCTGTCTTGTCCTTCTCTTTGTCTTCTCCTCTTCTTCAGTCTTCCTCCTCCTTCCGTCTCCTTCTTCCGTCAGTTCAGAGACAAAACATAAGGGAAAAAAAAACAAACCAAAACGACGACGTTTTGGTTGTCGAGCCAGTCGGGCCAATAATGTTTGGAGCTACGAAACATTATTCTTAAAGCCATACACATTTAACAATGTCGCTTTGATTCAAATTTAAACATGAGGCTTTGATTACTATAACAAGACCATTGTAGAGATATATTACAGAGAATTCTAATCTACCATACACATGGGTTGAAAATTTTACAAATAATTTTTTTTTGTTCGGATGTTAAGAATGGAAGATACAAAAAAATGCCAATCTCATGATTAAAATGGTTGGGATTCAAAAGTTTCCTGTCTAATTTGTGGGGCCCACCATGGGTCCATTTTAATAATCTAAATTATTTATTTTGTAAGGCCTCCTAATCATCACGACCCTTTCATTTTATGGTGTTTATCTCTGAAAAAATAGACGACAATTATGGTTCTAAAAATCAACCATCCATTTTTTGAAAGAAACTTGTCACAAAATTTTATGTTTCTGTCATTGCAACCAGATGAAGATGATTAACTAATTGTATGTGTGTTTTGAAAAGTATCTAAAGACCCATATGAGGATGTTTGGAACACTGCCCAACAATGTTGTCTTCAACTTCTTCAACAAACTTGTAAGAACACTTCCTTTTCTTTGACTGTGGTCTCCCTTTTTTCATGCTGTTCTTGCTTTGTTGCTTTGGGATCTTTATTAAACACAGTAGTTTCCCATTTGATGCTGTTATGATCAGTGGCTCCAAATTGAAAACCTCAAGCAAATGCTCCTTCAGAACAATTGCATCCTCTTCATTAGTAAATCCTTCCAATTTAACCGCTTTGAGATGACGCGGCCGTGCTCGATTGACTTGTTCCGAGCATGGATGACAGACAGTGCTTGCAATGCAGTAGCTTGTAGGATCAATCTGCAGAATTTCATAAACAGGGTGGAAAGCTTAATTGGCTATGTTAAACCTTTGCAAGAATGACTTCTAAAGGAACATGTTAATCTTCTTATGTATGCATATGAAGTGGTGATAATTTTCCCTGGTAGTGCAGGCTCAAGTTACAAAAAGAGCCTCTATAAAAATGGGGATAAGGCTGAGTACATCTTACTTTTTTCAGACCCCGTTTTAACCAGAACCTCGTGCATTGGGTTAACCCTTTTAGCACAAGGCTTATGAGATCAACTTGGAAAGAAATACTTCTCCTTAAACCTCCCTTAAAAGCCTTTTGACAGTCCATTTTAGTTGGTGTCAGTTAGGGGTCTTGTGAATGTCGAAGAATTGGAGCACAGATCATTGTTCCATCCTCAATCTCATACCTATGTCGATGATACAAAGAGCGGGACAGATAATCCCATGTGGTAGAATTGCTTAGTTTGGATATGTTCTTTTTGGGGGAGAATAATCTGTTTTCTAGTTACCTATCTATTTCATGAAAACAGTCTAAAAACTTTGTTTAGTCATTTATGCTATAATTGACATGAGATATATGCTGATGAAATTGCAATATATGAACTTTTTCTTTCTCTTTTTATTGAAGGAAACTTACATTTATGAAGAGTCTTTCCAAGGAAGGACAGATTTTGAGCAAGGAGACCAAGGCATCAATCTTGCTTTCTTCCATTGTAGTATTGATCCACCATAAATCTGTTAAATTATTGAACCTCAAGTTTTCATGTCCTGAGGATAACCATGGGCTGATAATAGCCTGCAAGAGAGAAGTCCATGAAAAATCATCTGTATATACAGAATCAAGAATTAATCAGAAACCATTGTTGGAGACAGTAATGCTATTTTTGGACCTTGAATTTACTCATGGGAAAGGAAAATGAAAGAAATAAATTTAACTTCTTTCACTTCATTTCCTTCTTTTATCTTTTCCCTTTTCTTTGACTTTCCCTCCATAAATTCATGAATCAAATATAGGCTAAATGTAAAGGGCACCCACACCTCAAGAGATAACTTTTGGGTTGAGTTCTACCCAAGACTGTTCAACATAGTATCACAGCTAGAGTACCTAGGAATGGGTAAGGTGCGTGTCCCTAGCTCGAACGTGGCTAGTGCTGCAGAGTGAGCACACTTGCTCGTGAGGGAGTTTGTGATGTGTGAGAACACCTTCACCTCAACCGCTAACTTTTGAAATTGAGTTCTACCCAAACCCATGTAACAATTCAAACATACAAAAACAACAAAAACCTACCTCAAAGAACCATCCACTTAGTGTGAGAATTTTGACATTTTCTATGGCTAATAGAAGTGAGTCATAATGCAGGTACTTATAGGCTTTGTAAGCAGGGCCTGCTCTAAAATCAAGCATGCAATCTTCCCAAGAATGAACACCTGTGAGTGAAAACCAGCAAAGCCTGCCTCGGCATCGAAACGATTTGAGTTCATAAGCTTCAATAAAAAGTGAATTCAGTTGAGGACAGTCCAGAACAGTAAAGTTCTTAAGCTTGGAAACAACATCAACTCGCAAAGATCGCAATCCAACACAGTTGGCAATTGTTAAGCTCTCAAGATTGTGAAAATTTGAAACCAAAGAAGAAACAATCTCATTTGTAAGGTAGGTCACAGAAGTCAAATTAAGGGTTTTGACAAAGAAAGCCGAAGGAGAAGGCTGGTGACTGGGGTCAAAGCTATTCAGCACCAGAAACCAACCAAACTGTCTTGGATAGTATGCTTGCTTTTCAGAACAGAACTTAAGATGAAGTTTTTTCCTTAATCCGATTGTTGCTGAGAGTATGAGACCTCTGCCAAAATGAAAGTTTAGTATCCGAGGATGTTGTAGTGGATTGTGGTGATCGAAATCAAGGAGAAAGTCAGCAACTGCACAATCAATGCCTTCTTTAGTACCATGTTGTGTGAAAGCTTTGTTCCATACAATGCGCCATCTGTTTGAAAGAGCATTGGTTTGCAAGGCCGATTCAAAAGGGATCAAGGAGAGGAGGTGTAGGAGGATGTCATCTGGTAAATTGCTGATCAGATCATCTTTATTTTCTTCAAACTGTCTGTTCCAAAAAACAAAAAAACAAAAAAAACCCTTTAAATAATTCAATAAAAACAAGAAATAATCTAAATAAAGAAACATAAGGAAAATAAAAATAAAATTCCTATATTTTCTTTTCAATTGATTGTCATTGATGCTTTTTCCGGTCCCCATATGGGGGAATCGCTGAAAGTGACTGCAGCAATAGCCGGACGTGGTTGTGGGCACTGGGTGGTGACCGGAGAAGTTGAAAGAATAAAAACTTGTTTTCGAAAACACTTTTTTTTTCAGTAAATTTGTGTTAAGAGAAAGAGATCAGTTGCTTACCTTGTAGCATTCAAGATGACAAAATTGAGACTTTTTCTTCTGATCTCATCGCTCGCATAGGAATTCTGGTTCTGATTCTTATTTTTCTTTGGGATCTTTTTGGCCATTTTTAGATTCAACTATGAGCCAGGGGATAGAAGTCGTGGACAAAATATTATAGAGTTAGCAGCTTTTTATGTTAATAACCTAATCTTCAACCTATTTTTCTTAGAGACTAAGGCTAAGTTTGGGAAGTCCCAAATAAATTAAAAAGTCAAAAAGTTACTCAAAAAGTTAAAAAGTTAACACTATTCACCAAAAGTCAACAATTATGGCTGCACAACTCCCAATTCAAATTTTCCTCTACAAATCAATTTTTACAATTTTTTATTACACATTTTTTCATAAAAAGTCAAAAAGTTAACCCAAACATCCATATCAATTTTTTAGTCCAAAAAGACAAAAAGTGCACTTATTTAGTCTCCCAAACTTGGCCTAAAGAAATATTATTCCTAGTTTTGGATAAAAACAAACACAGTGCTAAATGCTAAATGATGTTAGTTCATCCCAAGAAACATATGCTTCCAAGTTGGTTCCAACCCACCCTTCTATTTAAAAGATTATTTGTTTTCTATTTCAATTCCTTTGCAATTGTTTAATCGTGTTGTAAGATTTTACTTTTAAATTTTTTATTTATAAATCTCATTTAGAGGTGTTTAATAAATCCACTAAAAAAATTTATAACTTATTGCTGGTTTGGGAACTCTTAAAAAATCTAAAAGGTCAAAAAATTATCAAAAAAATTAAAAAATTATCACTATTCATTAAAAAAATATTAAAAAAATAATATACACATAATAATATAAATAAAAAAAAATACAATTAACAAGGTACTGACGTGATAGACCCGACAGTGACTGGAAAAAAAAATATGGAGTAAAATATTCATTAAATTGGATGGTAGAGCTGGGCCAGTGGGGGCCCACCATGGGTCCTGTTTTGGTAATTTGAATCGTGCAATATATAGAACTCGTCTAGTAGTATATGCTTATAAAAAATCATGTCTATCGGATATCGCTAAATATATGATCAAATCAGTTTTGTATAAAAATGGATGGTGTTATAGTTAACATTTAACAAAAAAAAACTAATACGATCAGATAGCTATCGATATCCAATCAACGTGATTTTTTATAAGCATATAGTACTCGACAAATTCTACACATTGAACGGTTCCGATTAGTAAAACGGGACCCGTGGTAGCCCCCATGGGCCGAACAGTACCAACCAATTTATGTTCGAAAAGTAGAGAATCAATCTCCTGCACACCCTCTGCTGCGCTGCTTCCAACTGTACGGCCTATACCATTACTTTATGAAAAATGAGTGAGACCACTAAAAAAATGAGCACTAATAGCTCTAAAGAGGTGTGGATCCCACATGATGGAATGTTTTGCTCTTTGTGTTTTTTTTTTTTGTTTTTTTGTTTTTAAATTTCCACCTCATTAATGGTCAATTAGTGCTCCCAAATTAGTGGGATGAATCATTGTTGCTAATAGTCTTTATGGTTTGGGGCTTGTATCACTTTGCTCCCTGACTTTTCAATTGTGACACATTTGACCCTAAATTTTGAATCTTGTTCAAAATAAGGACAATTGAAAATATCATTAGATTTTTTAAGGATAAAATTGTCAATTTGATAAAATATAAGTTAATTTGACAAAAATAAATATCAAACAAATATTTTTAAATTTTTAAAAATTATTTCTACCCACTAAAAATAAAATTATATAAAATTGATAAATCTTTTAGAAATTATTTCTACCCACCAAATTAATTTTTATTATGTGTTTAGATAATGATCATGTAAAATTAATTTTTAAAAATTAATCATGTAATTTTTATTAATTTTTATCAATTTTACATAATTTTATCATTGGTGGATACAAATAATTTTTTAAAAATAAAAAATATTTTTTTGACATTTATTTTTGTCAAATTAATTTATATGTTATTAAATTGACGATTTTGCCCTTGAAATTGAACACTGATATCTTCAATTGCCCTTATTTGGAACAAAATTCAAAATTCAGGGTCAAATGTGTCACAATTGAAAAGTCAGGGACCAAAGTGACACGAGTCCCAAACTATGCAGACTATTACTGTAATTTGCCCATAAAAAAATGATACATACATTTTCCTTTTGTTACTACCTCTATTATGGTAATTAACATTATTAACATTTTTTCTTTTTGATCAGTTTCATTTACATTTGTGATATTGTTTCATTGTGCCAAGGTTTCGAAACTTTTTATTTGGTAGGGTTTAGAAACTTTAATTTACACATGGTGGTGAAAATAATATTACATTCCTCTATTATTGCGGTGAAACTTTGTATTCCTCCATTGTCACTTTGTGTTCGAAATTCTGTATTCGTCTATTATTACGCTATGCTCGAAACTTTATGTTTCTCTATCGTTGTAAGCCGAAGCTTTGTTTATATTAGGGGTGAGCAACGAATATTTCGATCCGTCTAAATCGACCGAACTGAACCGATCCGCCACATTTTGGATGGATGTGTGATGACGAGCAGACAGTTGCAGATTGATTTTTTCCAATTCGCTAGTTTTGGATGGATGACAGATTTGAGGTTCCTTTGGCCGCAACAGAACCACCAAACCGTGAGCATCCCTAGTAATTTATATGACTTTGTATTTTTAATTTGTTTAGATATTCTGTTTGTATTTTTAATTGAAAAGGAGTTTATATATATTCTGTTGTGTTTTTAATTTGTTTTTAATTTAAAAATCCTTTTATCAAATGGCAAGGGTTAATATTTGATATTTTTGTATAGAAAATATAAGACTTAATTTTGTCATTTTTTTTAAAAAAAATGTAATTAAATAGTTTTTGAATAAAAAAAAAAGTAATGAAATAGTTTTGATAATGTATAATTTTCTTATATGTATTTATTATTGGTATTTGACAATTTACTTGATAATCTTTTAGTTATATTGAGTTGGATTGTTATCCAAAAAAACATGTTGATAAGTTGTTATATTATGTTCAAAATTTGTAAAATTTTAAACTGCCAAACCGATTCGCGTTTATTCGCCAATCCACCAATTCGCTCAATTAGCATCCATCAATTCGATGGACGGATGCAGATTCGTTTTTTCCAATCCGCCCATCTGACGGACAGATGGTGGATTAGAGGTTTACCGATCGCAACCGAACCGCAAACATCCCTAGTTTATATTCAGTCAATTTTGTTACAAACATATTCTTCAAGGTGGGTTTGGTTTGATTTGGATTAGTGAAATTGCATAGATTGTTAATGATAATAATAATGATAAAGATGGTGATGATGATGAAGATGAGGATGAGGATGTGGATGTGGGCGACATTTTTTTGTTTTTAGAGTGATTGAGTTTTTTTTCGATTTCTAATTTTATTACTGTCATTGTTTCTATTTTTTTTGGCCATCAATGTGAATGTTCACATTTCACATTGTTTGAAAGTCTGAGAAATAACTGTTGGAATATAGATATAGACATAATTATATATTTGCAAGATGTGAATGTTCACATATCATTGGTTATTTGTTACTATACTTGTTATTTGAACAATCATTTTTTTTGTTACCATTAAACAATTGAAATAGTCATTTTTTTTCCTTTCAATTTGGTTTCATGTTTTAGTGTGGATGTTCACATTGGTATGAATTTAGTTTTTCTAAGGTTAGTTGTATGTTAATTGTAGATTATGAACATTGTTTGAAAGTCTGAGTAATAACTGTTGGAATATAGATATAGACATAATTATATATTTGCAAGATGTGAATGTTCACATATCATTGGTTATTTGTTACTATACTTGTTATTTGAACAATCATTTTTTTTTTTTGTTACCATTAAACAATTGAAATAGTCATTTTTTTTTCCTTTCAATTTGGTTTCATGTTTTAGTGTGGATGTTCACATTGGTATGAATTTAGTTTTTCTAAGGTTAGTTGTATGTTAATTGTAGATTATGAACATTCACATTGTATTTTGGTATGAGTTTTTTTTTAAAAAAAAAAATTGAAAGTTAGTTATGTGACACTCTGAACGTTTAATAAAATATCACATAAATATTTATAATTATATATAATTGTGAGTGTATGTGATAATATATTATTAAATAAATAATAATAAATACATAATCTAATTTGATATTAGATTATCAAATATGAGATTAAATAGGGATTATTACTTGGGGCCAAATTAACAGAAATATAGAATTATAATACTAGTTGGGCCAAATTAAAGTTAAATATAGTAAATAAATAACTATAAAAGTGAGAGTAAATAAATAATAATATTGATAACAATAATAATAATAATAATAATAATGGGTGTTGTAGTAAAATAAATAATTAATTTTCTATTGGTGCACGATGGAGTGTAATTTAATTAGAGATTAATTTATTTATATAGTTCTATTAGAAAACTGGGCTAAAAGTATAATTATCTTAAATATTTATTAAGATAAGTATAAATTCATGTGATTTATGATCAAATTTGGGAAGGGATTTGAGCTGCCACGTGTTGGACTCAGGATGCTTTTACCTCCCTATAAATAAAGAGGAGTTGATCAAACTCTGTGGAAAGAAAAGGAAAAAAGAGAGAGGGTGAGACATGTAAGTTGTTGGAAGTAGAAACTTATAGTAGGAAAGTTGTGATAGTGGAGTAAGGCCAAGGGTCAATATTAAGGTAAGTTATATTATACCTTGAGGCACCATAGTATATTTTACGTATGTTTTGACTTACCATAATTTATTTTATATAAGTTATGTTTTATAAATTACATTAATATTTCAATTACGTGGGTTATTTTTTGAACTCTACTCGTTTAAAATGAAATACATAGATATGTTTGTTTAAATTTTAAAGAATATTTGACTATGACCTTATAAACAAATAATAAAAGCCTATGGATGTAATTTTTTTAAAATTAGTAGAATGAAGTAATTTCCTGTTTAATTATTTTTATTTTCGCTTGTGCAGTTTAATTTGCTACGAATAGAATAAGTTAGTAAGTTGTGATTCCAACCCTAAGCCTCTGGGTTGGGTTGTGACAAAGGTGATATCAGAGCAATGGTTCAAAAAAAATGCTATTTTAATTTGATCAGGAAGTTCGAAAAGTTATAAATAAATTTATAAATAAAACTATATAGCTAAATAAACATAATAAAATAAATAAATAAAAAATAATAATAATAAATATTTACCTGCAACGTTAGTACTTTTGTGTAAAATCTCACGTTTATTCTGGTGATGTAAAAATGTCAGAGATTAACCTCGATGATGCATTTTAGGATGAGCTCGGGGCCATTAATTTAGATGAGATTTTAGCAGAGCACCCTGCCCCCGCCTTACCTGAGGGTTGGAAAGATTCAGAAAATATAATCAGAGGACTGCATCCAGGCCTTGCCCAATTGATGGGTCGGCCAATCTATATACAAACTGATCCTACCGATATCCCACATTTACTATGGAGGCAAAGTCGTGCCTATACACGCGGACGTTTTCTTGGACCCACTCGTGTCCTTGGCGTTGCCCCGGGACATGACCGCCCGTACTATATCATAAGCTCTTTACCCCTAGATTTTGTGGCCAGAAGGGGGAACGTGTACCCTGAGGACTATATTTTCACCACTGTCCCTAACCCGCTGAAGATAATTAATATTCAAAATGTTGACTTTAATAATGCCTTGTCATATGTCGAGACACCCGGCTGGATTGTCAATCGAGCATTTTTAGGATACATACAGTCCGTCCCATTTTCACAGTCTAGGCAGCGTAGATGTGTTTTGGTGTAGTCTAGTGAGGATGGGAATTTGAGCTTTTTATGCAATACTACTTCTCATGGTTGTTTGGCCCATTTGACCCACCACTCTAGATTTGGTAGAAAAAAACCTTTTTGTATGCTAACCATGATGTGTTATAATCCCTTTTTATTGTTTTTTGTTTTTGTTTACCACAGGGATGAGACATTAACATATTCTAACTTTTGAAACATAGATGTAATGTTAATTGTAAAAAATGTAAAGTTGGCATTTTATATAGATATAGATTGTGCTACACATGCTTATATATATGCTGCGTTGTAAATGTAATGCCTCGTTTATTACTTTGTAGAATGGCCAATAATGGTAACGGAAGTGAGTCATCAGTCAGTGGCATTGAATCGATGAAAAGAATAATGGAAAGTGCAGTTACTAGCTTTTTGTAAACCTTGCAGACTAACATCAACAATGGGATGCCGGTTACCATAAAACAGTTCCAGGATCTGAAACCCACTACATTTACCAGCGGCCTAGACCCAATGGTAGCAGATGCTTGGGTTAAAGACATGGAAAAGATTTTTCGCGCCCTACCCTGCACCGAAAGACAGAAGGTAACTTTCGCTAATTTCACTTTCAAAGACAATGTACAAGAATAGTGGCTTCTCACTCTGGAGAAAGAAGAAATTGCAACTTGGGCAAGATTCTTGGAAGTATTCTATGAAAAATACTTCTCAAATTCATTGCGGGAACAGAAGGCATCCGAATTCATATATCTAAAGCAGGGAACCATTGCGGTGGCCGAATACGAGAGCAAGTTCACTCAACTCGCTCGGTTTACAACATACTTCAATCCCACCGAAACTCGAAAAGCAAGAAAATTCAAAGCAAGATTTGATGCTGAAATTAAAGATAGGCTCGAGGTCTTGAAACTACCAACCTATGCAGAAGTGGTAGACCGGGCGTACATTACAGAAAAAAAGGATTAAAGGCTCGCGTTCCGGGGAACCAAGCTAAAAGAAGCGATTCTGGGAAAGAGACAACAAAAGATCCGGTGCTACGCCTCCCAAAAAGGTGAATACAGGCACAACCAGTTTAGGCCATCAAGGCCCAACCAACCCCCGATGTGGCACTATTCCAATTTGTCTCACTTGTGGGGGGCTCATTGGGGACAATGCCATCGAGACAAGGGAGCATATTTTAAATGCAGTCAAGTTGGCCATTTGCTGAGGGATTGTCCAAAGCTGACTAATCTTACAGCCAGCCTCTCTAGCCCAGTCAGAAAACCCGCAGGACCCGGAGGAGACAGGAAGGACCAACAAAGGCCAAGGACGGGCTTTCACCTTGGTACCTGGAAAACCAAAAGTTACCAAAAATGATGTGTCAGGTACACTTTCTGTCTGTGGTCATTTAGCTCATTTCCTCATTGACTCTGGGTCAACTCATTCTTTTGTTGCACCATACTTTGCTGTCAAGTTGGCATCAACACTCGAACCATTAGGATATATATTGTCTGTGTCTTTTCCTTCTGATAAGTCTGCCTGTAGTACTAATGTGTACAGATCTGGTGCTATATTCTTAAAAGGCAAAACCTTATATGTAGACTTGATTTCCCTCCGCATTAGGAACTTTGATGTGATCTTAGGTATAGATTGGCTTGCTGCCAATCACGCCTCTATTGATTGTAAAGCCAAAAAAGTCTCCCTCGGGTTACCAAACAAACCAAAGCTTGTTATTAATAGGACTGGAGTTTCCAACCCTCCCTGTATTATATCCGCCATGATAGCCCGACGACTTCGAAGAAAGGGTTGTGGTAGTTATATTTGTTATGTGATCGATACACAAAAAGAGGCCCCCATCGTGGATGTGATCCCCGTAGTATGAGAATTCTTGGATGTTTTTCTTGAAGATCTACCTGGTATCTTGGTTGATCAGAAAATTAACTTCACCATTGAAACCCAACCTGGCACATAACCAATATCAAAAGCTCTTTATCGCATGTCAATGACAGAATTGAAAGAGCTAAAGACTCAACTCCAGGAACTACTGGACAAAGGTTTCATTCGACCTAGTACCGCGCCCTGGGGAGCTCCAATATTGTTCGTGAAGAAAAAGGATGGCACAATGAGATTATGCATCGATTACCGGGAGCTGAACAAGGTCACCATCAAGAATTGGTACCCACTGCCACGAATTGATGACTTATTCGATCAACTTTAAGGTGCCTAAGTATTCTCTAAAATCAACTTGCGTTCTGGCTACCATTAACTAAAAGTCAAAGAGGAAAGCATCGAAAAGACTGCCTTTAGAACCGTTATGGGCACTGTGAGTTTCTTATTATGCCTTTTGGCGTCACAAATGCCCCAGCAGCCTTCATGGACCTCATGAACCGAGTGTTCAAACCTTATCTTGATGAGTTCGTCATCGTCTTTATTGACGACATCCTCATATACTCCAAGTCACCAGAGGCCCATGAACAGCACTTGCGAACGATTCTACAGACACTACATGATCACAAACTTTATGCCAAGTTGAAGAAATGCGAATTTTGGATCACTAGTGTACACTTTCTCGATCACGTCATTAACAAAGATGGCATCTCAGTTGAGTCCCAAAAAGTTGCAGCAATCATGGACTGGCCACAACCTACTAATGTGTCAGAAATCCAAAGTTTCTTGGGTCTAGCTGGCTATTGTCGACGCTTCGTGCAAGATTTCTCAAAGATAGCATCACCCTTGACCCAGCTAACTCAGAAGAACACACCCGTTGAATGAACTGACAAACAGGAGTGTTGCTTTCAAGAATTAAAAAGTTGACTTGTGCCACGACCCAAACCCGCCCCTATGGGTTTAGCACCGTAACCGGCCAGTAATCCGTGATTACCGAAGGCCTGCTTAACAGTCAAACAATAATACAGAGTATAGGGGCATGACGGAAGCCAAAACAGTAAATAGACAATGTCCAATGAGCTGTGGAGTCTGTATGCAAAAAGACTTATCATTCATGTGCACATATACAATCAGTACCAAGACAGTATGTACAATATATACAATCATTCAGGACAGGGACTTAATCCCTATTAAACAGTACAGTGCAACATCATTCAGTCTAAACAGTAGTTATATAGCAAATACAAAAAGAGGGAACTAAAACACCCCAAAAGCCCTGGCTTGACAGGCTCGGAACCTCGCAATGAGGCATAGTGGTTGGCTTGACAAAACTGGAGTATACCCTGACGCTTTTAGCAACGGTCCGGTACTTGTACACCTACATATATATATGAGCAGTGAGCTAAAGCCCAGTGAATAACATAATGCGTAAAGAGGTTAAGAATGAATGTCCTTTCAGTATTGAAAATAGTCAATTGATTTAGTATATCAGTCATTCAGTCATAACAGTCATATGTGGTACATCCAATAGCAGAACAGTACAGTAAACAGTAGGTCTTGAAAGACCGAACAGTCAATGATGGCCATCAGTAATGGTTCCAAACATGGGAACCGACAAACATCTCTGTAACAGTAGCAGTAACAGTAACGGTAGTTGCTAAGGATGCCACAGTACAGTTTAGAATAGAGGACAAACATTCATTCAGTTAACAGTAAATAGGTCAGAAAACAGTTCAATTGATCATTCAGAAAATATTTTTTGAACATATCTTTACAGCATTGTTACTCACAGAGTTCTGGGCTACAGATAAGCTAGAGCACGTCTCCAAAAGCCAATCCTACACAGTTGCAGAATGAACACACACTAAGCTACACAGTTAGGAAAATAATAACTTAATCCCTATCTTGACTCGGTGTGGTTTTACCTCAAAATCCTCATCAAAATGCCTTAAACTAGGCCTAAGAATGCCTAGAATGGAATGATGATGCAAAGATGCACTTAGAAAACATTTACAGAGTTTTTAGAAAATAGGGGTCTCGCTCGAGCGTGGGATTCCGCACTCTAGCGGACATGCAAACAAAAGACTCCGCTCGAGCGTAAACTTTCCCACTTGAGCGTACTGAAAAAGTACTGGATGTGTGAAAATCACGCTCGATTGGGCGCTCGATACCCGCTTGAGCATGTGAAACAAGTCTTCGCTCGAGTGTCCAATACCCCGCTTGAGCGGACTGTAAGACAATGTAAAGTGTTGGATGGACGAATTTCACACTCGAGCGCCAGACACTCCGCTCGAGCGTGAGTCCAAAATCTGAAATTTCCAGATTTGAACCTCAAGCTCAAAAACAAGTTTTAATGTACTAAATTCGATCCTTTTGGGCTAATTTTCTAGAAAACACTTCAAAACTCATAATATAACACGTTTCAAAGGTCAATTTGAGAAATCAAAGCCCAAAGGTAGTTCAATTAAACTCAATTTCAAACCAATTTTCATGAACAAGACTAATATGGAACATGCAAGAATTTAAACACTTCAAAGCTTCAAATGCTAGCTCAACTGAGCCGATTCTTTTCAAAACAAGATAAATTCATGGTCCTTAGCAAGAATATGAACATGCATGTCACAATTTTCCATGAAAACAACTTTAAACTTCTCAATATAGGCATGCATGCATGAAATGAGCTTCAATTCAACATATAGAACCAATTCTAGACTTTAACTCACTAAATTTCCATGATTCATGAAGATACAACTTAAATACATAAACCAAGGGATAGAATCTCTACCTTAGGTCTTCAATCACAAGTCTAGAGGCTCAATTTGGCAAATTCTCTAACAATTCTTCCAATTTCCAAGCAAACCATCAAGTTGAACTCAATTCTCTCACTCTCTCTCACTCTTGGTCGGCTAGCTCTCAAGGAAAAAGGCTGATGAAATGTTTGGTATGAATGTAATGAAGCTCAATATGTTTTGTATGAGGTGGGCCACTAGGTGGCAAAGTGGTAATTAAGCCAACTATTGCAATTTAACCTTATTTACTCTAATTAAATCATACCAAATCACATTTTAGGTAAATACACCATAAAATCACATAAATTATGGTTAACACATATCACTAATCAATTTCAGATTCGGCCGCCGATAAGGCCTTCAATTTGCAGTTTAAAGCATAAAACATAAACAGATAGTTTAACAGTCAACAAATAGATATGCATTTAAACTAGCACATTCAATCAATCAGTTCAGTTTTTCAATCAGCTCAATTACTTATCATGATCAGTCTCAGTTTAGCAGTAATCAGTAGCTTAATCAGTAATCAGTGGTGAGAGTTATTACAACTTGTGTCAGCTCCTATACTAGCACTCCCTATGTCACGACCCCATTCCGTCCCTAGTAGAATGGTGCCGTGATGGCCAGTAATCCAAGATTACCGAAGGCCAACTTTCAAAATTCACACACAATCAGAGTATTACATATGGGGCTAACATGTGCGGAAGCAATATATACAAATCTAATTAGTCCATAAGAGCTGTGCATAAGTCAAATGAAATGGCATACATCTTTACATAGCTTTATAACTTTATTATAAGCAAAATAAAATACATATTACATCTTGACTAAAAGGCTTCTCAAGTCGACATATACAAAATACATGAAATACAACTAAGAAGCATAATCTTCAAGATTGCCGACATAACATGGATCAAACATCATCTTGCAAATAACACATCTCGGCGTCACCGCCTTCATACTTGTTACCTACATATATATAAGGAGAAGGTGAGCTTGGATACTCAGTGAATGGTATAAGTAATAAAGGGGTTAAATGAATGATTCCCGAGGTCCTTGTCAAAACAATACATATAGCATAGCTTGTTCAAAACATGGGATGAATCAAGTTCATCAATCAAATCTTGGTCTTTCAAATCTTCTTGGGATGTTTAATAACATCTACATAATACATGGGGTGATGACATTCCTAACAAAACAAACCCACCCGTTCATAGACCGTCGGTGGCAAAACAAGACAAAACAAGGGAATAATCGACCCAGAATCGATTAGACAAATCCACTCGTAAACCAGACCGTCGGTGAGGCCAT